CAGAAAAACCTGGAAAGACTTGTATGGTCTGATGCTGAGTAGAACCACGAGAACATTGTACACAAGAACAGCTACATCGTGTGATGACTAACTTTAATAGACTTAGCCTTTCTCAGCAATGCAAGGATCTAAGACATCTCCAAAAGTCTCATGATGGAACATGGTATCCACATCCAGAGAAAGAACTGTGGAGTCTGAATGTAAATTGAAGCACACTGTTTGCTACTTTCCTTTCTTCTGTTGTGTTTTGTTTCTGGTGGTTCCTCCTATTAGTTCTAATTCTTACTTACATCACTAATGTGAAAATATGTTTAATAGGAATTTATAAGTAGAGCCTATATCAGATTTCATTCCACCTTGGGGAGAGGGAAGTAAAGGGGAGAAAATTTAAAACTCAAAAGCTTACGGAAGTGAATGTTGAAAACTAAAAATAAATTTAAAAAAATTAAGTCAGAAAAAAAAGATTTAGAAAGGATTCATGTATGCTAGATAGTAAAAACAGAAGTCAAATGTCTAAGATGAACAAGAAAAAGCATTCACTCAACAGCTAGGTCTTAGATTGTTAAAGCTGGAAGGAATCTTGGATAGCAATCATGCAGTCAAACGCACTCACTTACAGATAAGAAAACAAGGAGGTAAAGTTACTTGCCCAAGGTCACATAGCTAGTTAGTGGCAGAGTTAGGTCTTGAGCTTAGGTGACTTGATTCCTAGTCTAGTGTTCTTTCTGACATATCATTAATTAGCTTAACATGATCAAATGAAGAGGACACTGATACATAATGGGGCTGTATTCCTAATCTGAGCAGGTTACAAATTCCACATAGTCCAGGATCATGTCTTATTTATCCTTTGTATATGTTCCAACACCTGGTCAGGTGTTTTGAATTGAATAGGTACTTAATGAATGGTTTTGAATAAGTGGAAAAAAAATGAAATTTAGATGTCAGGGAAAAGAATAAATTATCACACTGTTTTTTCACCACATGTGATAGCTGGAAATTTTAAGACATAATACATTGATCAGTGAGTCAAACCGAAATAATCTAATCCAACAAAAATTTATTAAGTACCTATTATGTGCTAGGCCCTATTAGTAGGTGCTCTAGATACAAACAGGCCCTCCTCTGAAAGTGCTTATATTCCACAGGGCAGGGGAGCACTGGATCTGGAGTCAGGAAGACTCAAGTTTAGATCCCACCCCAGACACTTACTAGCCTGTCTAGACATGTCAATTAATTTCTGTTTACCTCAGTTTCCTTAACTGGGGATAACTATAGTAAGTACCTCCTTGGGTTATTGCAAAGATTGAATGCCAAGTACCTGGTAGATAGTAGGTGCTTAATAAGTATTTATTCCTTTCCCTTTCCCTTCATAAAAGTAAAAATAAGAATATAAAAAATAAAGTTATGGGGGCAGTAGAGGTGGATGAGAAATAAATACCAGGCAGATCAGGACAGGCCTTGCATAGAGAGTGGCACAGATACCTCAGGTCCCAATAAAAAAGGAATGAAGGCAGAAAAGCTGGCTCAGTCTCCCCTGCATCGGCTCCACCTCTGACTTCACTCTGCCCCAGTCTCCAGCCTTCATGATCAGGGTCTTCGGCTCTTCCCTTGAACCCACCCATCTTACACTCTAAGCCAACAAGGCTTGTTGGACTCTGCTGTCCATTCCTTTGTCCTCTTCCCCAGGGCTACCACCTCAGGCCAGCTCTCTTTACCACCCAGCTCTGCTACTATGGCATTCTCACTCATCTTCCTGACACTCTGTCGCTCCTCCACAATCTTTCTTATGCACAGAAAAGTCACATCATTCCTCGGACTCAAACTTTTCCATGCCTCTCTACTGTCTACTGAGCAAAGTCCAAATTACTTTGCTTGGCATTCAGGGCCCTTGACTGTGCCACCATCCCACCAATGCAGCCTCATCTCATATTACTCCCCTCCAACCAAACTGCTCCACTCTGTTTCCCTAACACAGCCAATACTCTCTGGATCCTGGGCCTCCCTTCCCTGTGCCTGGAATGTCCAGGATCCCTCCCCTCTCTGCTGCCCTGCTGCCCCTCTCCACTCCTTACCACCCACTGCCACTTCCTAGAGGAAATCCTGAACCTTCCTCCTCAGCCCTCCCTCACATTGTGCTCTCTGGGTAAATCTTTAACCAAATAAAATGCATTTATTGACCAATTATGTGCCAGGCCCTGTGAAGACAAAGGCCAAAATGAAACTGTCCCTATTATTAAGGAGCTTGGACTCCATCAGAGGACAAATATGTGCACACATGTAAGTACATGCAGAAGAGAAAGTAGTTTTAGGGGAGAAGTTCAAGCACCTGGAAGGAATCAAGGAAGACCTCATGCAAGAGATGGCATTTAAGATGAGCTTCAAAAGAAACAAAGGTTTCTCAGAGGCTTTATGTAGAAGGCAGGCTTGAGTTTCATCTTCTAGGAAGTGAGGGTTTCTGTGATGTAGAGGAAGGAAGGAAGGGAGGGAGGGAGGAAGAGAAGAAGGAAAGGAAGGAGGGGGGAAGGAAGGAGGGAAGAAGAAAGAAAAGGAAGAAGGGACAGAGGAAGAAGAGAGGAAAAGGAGGGAGGGAGGAAGGAAAGAAGCATTTGTCAAGTACCTACTATGCATCAGGCACTGTTCTAAGCACTTTACAAATATTATTTTATTTGAGATAGATGCTATTATCCCCATTTTTCAAATGAGGAAACTGAGGCAAGCAGAGGCTAAGTGACTTGCCCAGGGCTGCACAGCTCGTAAGTGCTTGTGTTCAGAGGTGAATGCAGGTGTTTCTTATTCCAGGCCCACCTCAGCCCCTGTCTCAAGCTGAGGAAAGAGTTCATGCCTAGTATGGAAGAAAGCCTGTGCACAGGTAAGGAGGTGGTAGATGGAATGTCATGTATTGAGGACCATCTGGATGGACAATTTGGCTGGACCACAAAATGCATGACAAGAAACCATACATAACAAGCCTTGAAAGGCAGATTGGAGCCAGGGTGTGAAGGGCTTTAAATAGGAAACAAAGGCATTCCTATTTGATCCAAGAGGTAGTAAAGAATGACAGGAGCATACTGAGCAGGGCAACACCACTTCCTGCCTCCCCTCTGGAATGCATTTCTCATGGTGTTGTACATTACAGCCTAGTACTACACAGTCCATAGGACCTGAGTCTCATTCCCCTAACAAACTGTAATCTCCACGACAGCAAAGACTGCATCTTCTCTACCTGGCAAGTATTCTGGACACAGACAATTAACAGTAAGTGTCTATATATGAATGAAGAGGTAGCCTATGGTACACAGTGACCTTTTCACCTTTTCTCATCCCTGGCCTGATTACACTGTGAGAACAGCGCCCCGTACACAACAGAGTGTGTCCAAAATGCAAGCTGTTTTTATCACCATCACCATCACTTAACTGCTGGAAACTCACAGGCACAATTGGTCAGAACATAGGAACAGAGGCATCACATCTCCATGACTATTCCAGATCAGAATACCATGATGGCATCCTGCCCTTTCTTTGGATCTGGAGTAAAAGCAGCCAGCCAGCCACAGAAAATGAAAACTTGAGGCAAAGGGAACACAGGAAAACATCTCTAAAGGGCAAGCCCCCGATACTTGATGCTTTCTCTATTTCTCCTGCTGCCTGAGAGCCCATTGTGGCATCACCCTGTCCTCACCCAGTCCTTCCTAAGCAGAAATACTCTCTTACACTTTGCTAGAAAGGTGCTTTCCCACGTTTGGCTCTGCCCTCCAGAAGAATTTGGTTCTTACAAGAGGTGATGAGAACAGAGGCCCCTTCCCACCAGTGAGCAGCCAGTGAAGAAGCCAGCATGGAACAAAGCGATGGGAGCAGGACTCAGCCAGCTGCTTTAGGTGAGGGCTGAGAAGCAGCACCTTGTTGGACAGACGTTGTTTGATATAGCTGCAAGACAGAGGCAAGAGTAGAATCTTTGGAACCAGCTCTGTCCTGATAGAAAGGATTTGGAGCCTCAAAGCCACTACACCCGAGACACGGTAGGGGACTCATAAGGACCATGGAACAGGGAGCCACAGCCAGGAAGCGGACTGGTGCCCAAGAAGCAGACAAACTGCTTCATGACCCTGGGCCTGATGTTCTCGGCCATAAGAGGATCAAGTCCAGCTGAAATCCGTTCTCTCCTTATGTCTGTCTTTCCAGATCCTCTTCCTTCAAGACTCAGCCCAGGTGCAGAATCCTTTTGGAGGGTCTCCGAGCCTCCCCTCCCTCCTAGTGCACTTTGTTGGCAGATTCTTTTTTCTCACTTTCTACCTTATAATCACCATGGAAAAAAAGCTTTCTGTCTATGGTTAAAGGGCCTGGATCCTAATCCCATTCGAGCTCCTTATTCCTCGAATGACCTTGAACAAGTCGCTTCCTCCTTGCACCTCAATTTCCTCATTTGTACAATAAAGGCATTTACTGTAGATGACCTTTATTCTAGGTAGTGCAGTGGACAGACTTCAGGGCCAGGGGTCAGGAAGGCTCGAGTTGAAATCTGGCCTCAGACGCTTACTAACTGTGTGAGCCTGAGCAGGTCACTTCCCCCTTTTTGCCTCAGTTTCCTCACCTGTAAAATGAGCTAAAGGACGGAATGGCAAACCTTTCCACTATCTCTGCCAAGAAAACCCCAAACGGGGTCAGGGGGAGTCGGACATGACTGAAGAAAATGACTCAACAACACTGTGTTTAAATCACGTAAATGATGGGTCTGGGCTGGATGGATTGAAGATCTCTTGTGCCTCTAAATTCCATGAACGTGATCGTGGGCAAGTCAGTTTGCCCTCTCCGTGCCTCAGTTTCCCCACCTGTAAAATGGGAAGTCTGGCTGGTGAGGTCACTTGAAGCTCTAGGAGCTCTGGGGTGTCGGGGGAGGGGACGGGGGGGAGGGCTGGGAGGGTCTGTCCAAGGTGAAGGTCGGAGGAGCAGGAGGAGGAGGAGGGGGCGGGAAGGAGGAAAGGCTGCGGGCCTGTACTCACCAGAAGGGACACGCCGAAGCCCGGCTGGTCCGCGGGGGAGGCGCCTGGGGCCATGGCCTCAGTCCGACGCCGCCTCAGCGGACCGGAGCGAGTGAGAGCCCAAGTTCACCGCGGCACCATGCCTCGCACCGGCTACCTGGGTGCCGCCATCTTGGCGACCTCTCTTGCCGGTAAGGAGTACTTCCGGGCCGTCTGACGTCACTACCACAACAACTCCACGTGCGAGCGGAGGCGGCCCAAGAGGGGGCCCGAAAGGGTCGACGGGCGGAGTGAGCATGATAGTTATCGCGAGATTTGGATAGGCCTCTCCCCCGTCGTCCCGCTCCCCGTCATCCCTCGCGGACAGCGAGTGGCGGAGTCGTGACGCCATGTTGAGAAGGAAATGGGCTTCCCTTTTGCTGCTGAGACAGCGGCACCCCGAGAATGACTCGAGCTTTGAGCCTCACCCCAGCCCCCAAAGCGCAGCCCGACTCCTAGGCATGCTCGGTTCGGGGCGGGGATGAGGGCGGGGTGCCGAAGGGGGTGTGTCCAGAGGCGTGGCCAGACGGGATGGGCGTTGTCATGCAAAGCGCCTGAGGCTTTTCTTCATTCCTACCGTTGTACAGTCTCCTTTCAGTTGTGTCCCACATTCCGAGACTTCATTTGGGGTTTTCTTGGCAGAGGCACTGCAGTGGTTTGCCATTTCCGTTCTCCAGCTCATTTTACACAGGAGGAAACTGAGGCAAACAGAGTTAAGTGACTTGCCCAGGCTCACACAGCTAGTCAGTGTCTGAGGCTGAATTTGAACTCAGTTCTTCCTGACTCAAGCTCGGACCTCCATCCACTTCTTCGCCTATCTGCCCCAACTGTTTGCCTCAGTTTCCTCATCTGTAAAATAGGGATAATGATACCCCCTTGTTGTGAGGATCAAATGAGATAGTGATGGGCTTGCTGCAAAGATCCTTATTATTATCTTAGTGGGTTCAAACCCCTGCCGATGCGCAGGCACTCACTACCTGCTCAACCTTGGGCAGCTTCCCTGGGGTCCAGCTTCCTCATCTGCACCAACGACAAGTTTGCACTACCTTGCTTCCCAGGTGCATGCCTCTCATCCTTCCCGGTGGCATCCCTTAGTCCTGTTCTTCAGTAGATCCTCTTCGGTTCCGTGTCGCAGCCTGCACCCACGGGTTCCAAGTCTCTGCGTTGCCCTCTGTGGTACTCAGGGTTCCAAGCCTCTGCGTTGCCCTCTGAGACTCAGGGTTCCAAGCCTCTGCGTTGCCCTCTGTCTGAGACTCAGGGTTCCAAGCCTCTGCGTTGCCCTCTGTGGTACTCAGGGTTCCAAGCCTCTGCGTTGCCCTCTGTGGTACTCAGGGTTCCAAGCCTCTGCATTGCCCTCTGTCTGATACTCAGGGTTCCAAGCCTCTGCGTTGCCCTCTGTGGTACTCAGGGTTCCAAGCCTCTGCGTTGCCCTCTGTCTGAGACTCATCCAACCACAGGAACAACTAATTAGGAGCTGGGGCACTGCACCCACCCCTTTGTACCCAGGGACTCCTCCCTCTGCTCTGGACCAACTCTAAATCCAAGATCCTATGAATGGGGGGGAAAGTCATTGTCACCCCCAAAAAAAGCTTCACCCTTCCGAACAGTTTCTTATTTTGGCAAAATACTAAGAGAAAAAGGATTTGAGAAAGCTATTATTGTCCTCCTGAAGATTTTTATCCTTGTCACTGGCCTTTGCCGAAACTACACTGAGAAAAACAGCTTTTTAAGTTGGGTTAGAATAGGATGCTACTTCTCTTTTAAATTATATCTTCTTGTGACTACGACAATATAAATGGAAAATATTAAAATAATGAAACAGAATGCTGGGTAATTATGAACAGGAAGCTTGGACCCAAAAAAGAGTTGAGGAAATGTATGTGCTTCCTTTCTTTGCAAAGGTAGAGGACTATGGGTAGAGATGTTTCATATATCATCAAATAGAGTTGATGCATCAGTTAGTTTTGCTAAAGTCACTTTTTGTCTTTTTAAAAGTCTTTGACAAAGGATAGTTCACTGGATAGGAAACTATGTTCAGAGAAATAGAGTCCTGGATTTGGAGCCAGAGACACCTGAACTTAGATCCTGTCTCAGATTTGTATGAGCCTGGGCAAGGCAATAAACCTCTCTCAGCCTCAGTTTCTTCATCTGTAAAAGAAGCATTAAATAGCACCTACCTCCCTAAGTTGTAGTGAGGATCAAATGAAATATATGGAAAATACTTTGCAAACCTTAAAGTACTATACACATGCCAGCCATTATCATGAGGAGACATAAATCAGGAAATGAAGATGTGGTATAAAAACAAAAGGCATTAATAAAAAGGATTTAACATTTCAAAAAAATTTTAATTGGTTTGACTTCCCCATTGAAATTAGATGCAGTGATAATTAATAATAATAATAATGTTCATTTTCATTTCAGTTGTATCTGACTCTTCGTGACCTCATTTGGGTTTTTCTCTGCAATGATACTAAAGTGGTTTGCCAATTCCTTCTCTTGCTCATTTTATTTTTCCCTGGTTACATGTAAAAACAATTTTTGACATTCATTAGGATTTTTTTAAAGTTTCAGGTCCTAAATTCTCTCTCTCCTTCCCTCCCTTCTCCCCTTCCTGAAACAGTAAGTAATCTGATGTAGGCTATACTTATGTAATCATGTAAAACATTTCCATATTAGTCATTTTGTGCAAGAAGATTCGAAAAGGAAGGAAGGAAGGAGGGAGGGAAGGAAGGAAGGAAGGAAGGAAGGAAGGAAGGAAGGAAGGAAGGAAGGAAGGAAGGAAGGAAGGAAGGAAAAGATAAATAGCATGCTTCAGTCTGTCCAACTCATTTTATAGATGAGGAAACTAAGGCAGAGTTAGTAACTGCCCAGGGCTAGATTTGAGCCAGAAGATGAGTCTTCCTGACTGCTGGCCTGGCACACTGTACCATCTAGCTGCAATAATAATATAGCTGTAATAATAATAGACATTTTTTTTACAGTTCACAAAATTCTTTATGTATGATATATATATATATATAAAATCTCATTTAATGTACTATAAAAGACTATGAGGTCAGTACTATAGGTATTATTTTTCTCATTTTACAGATGAGGAAACTGAGGATCAGAGAAATTATATTCCCATAATCACATAGCTAGTGAGCTTCTGAGGTGGTATGTCAGTCCAGGTCTTCCTGACTCCTACTCCAGTATTCTTTCCACTACAAAGCAGCAATAAATAAGTTATCCAGGGGCCTAGACATAGGCAGGAGCCATTGCCTGGACCTAGCATCTAATTTAGGAATGTCCTTAGATGCAGTAATACCAGCACCCCAACCTCTGAAGAATGAATTTAACCTTGATTCTTAGAAATATGTGAAAAGTTAACTTGAAATGATATTCTTTTAACCCAAAATTACGTGAACAATGTTAAGAATCCACACCCTGTTTTCCAGATCACTTGAAGGTTTGTCTCTCATTTGGTAAAAGAAAATTGTATTTTATTTTTTCTGAGTAAACAAGATTATAACTTTGATTTCTCAGGTGCAAGGTACTTCTTCTTCCTAATATGTGTCAGAATCAGGCAGAATCATCCCAATCTCTTTTTTAATTCTAAATGAAAAAAGCATTCCCACTTATTTTCAAATGCCTCCAAAAGCCTCTTGGGAAATACATGTGTTGCAGGCCAGGCTTAGGTTCTACATGTGTGAATTGCTGTAACAGGAGATGTGATTACTTGCGGGGCCTTTTCAGATGCAGCCATCTGATGAAGTGCCATGCTGTGTGCATAGAGAGCAGCTTGTCTCGCCTGAATTTCAGTTGAAAGGATGCAGTAATAGGAAAGACGCTAATTTGTACCATGCTGCAAAGACATCATGATAACATTCTTGTTCATACTCAGAGTCAGGGAACAAATTGGTTGGGGGATAAAATACTTTGGGGTTTTTTGTTTTTATGCAGATGTGCATCAAAATGCTTTATGACAGACAAGCAGAGTAGTCTGAGACTAGATGCCATTTCTACCCATGTGACCTTGTATAAGCCATTTCACCTGCACGGGCCTCAATTTCCCTCCTCTGTAAAATAAGGAGTTTGCACTGGATGAACCTAAGCTCCCTTGCAGATTTAATCTATGAGCTGAGGATCCTGTGGTTTGGGGGTAAGTCAACTCACCTCTCTGGACCTCAGTTCTCTCATCTGTAAAACACCCTGGGGTGGGAGTGGGGAGCAGGCAAATGAGGCACTAAAGTTCTTACAGCACTAAATCTTGATCTGTTTTAGATGAATTGGGTACAACAGGGTGCAGAAGAAAAAGTACTGGCTTTGGGTAGCTCAGATACTTCTTAGCCGGGTGACCTGGAAGAAGCCACTTCATCTTCCGGGTCTCAGTTTCCTTTTCTGTAAGATGAGGAGTTTGAATAAAAATATTTCTGAAGTCCCTTTGGGAGCAAGGACGGAAGGAAGGGAAAGGAAGGGAGGGAGGAAGGAAGGAAAGAAGAAAGGGAGGGAAAGGAGGAAAGAAGAAAGAAAACAAGCATTTATTAAGTTTCTACTATGTGCTGGGTACTGACCTGCTAAGCATAGACCATTATCCCCACAACAACCCTGGAAAGTAGGTGATATTATTACCCCATTTCACAGATGAGATACTTGAGGCAGAAAAAAGTTAAGACTTGCCCAGGGTCACACAGCTGGTAAGTGCCTGAGGCTAGATTTGAACTCAGGTCTTCCTGATGCCAGGTGCTGTATCCACTGTGGTGCTACCTAGCTGCCTAAGAGAAACAAAACCATGGCTGGAAAATAATGCTGACCCTAAACAAAAAGGTGCCCCCGAACTCCTGCTTCTCACCCCTAACTAGAACGTGTGAGAGAAGCTGAGCCTCATAAAAACATTTATGTTTAGTCTTCAATGGAAACTTCCTTGCAAAAAACCTGCAATGCAAAGGAGAGGGCAACGGCCCCCATGTTTCCCGTGGGCCGAGAACCAAGGGCTGGTTTTTCCTGCCGTTGTTTAGTGTCAAGACTTATCCAAAATGAGTTTGGCCAGAGGCGCTCATCAAGGTGACCGCTCACCTGTACCCTTCCTTCATTAAGCCACATCCCTGTGGTGTCATTTAAAACAAAATGCTAGAGATGCTTTAAAAGGTGACATCTAGAAAACGCTCCCGTGGGCAGACACAGGCTGGAGGGTAAGAGGTAAATGAGCAAAGATGTGCAAAATCATTCACATTACAGGCATCCTAATAGTTAGCAAGCTCTTTCTCCTCCAATATCACACCGATTCTAATCTGCTAAAATGTTGGATTTCCCACCCCCCCC